TGTCTGTGTTGGTGAACTAAACAGCTGTTGAATACAGATAGAAAACTGGCTAAAGGGAAAGAGGTTTTTTTTTTGTGACTGGGTGTATATGCAATCAAAAGTGTGAGAAGACACTAGTCACTGTTTACTAGCTTTATAAAAATGGATACAAGGATATCCAAGGCACATCTGGAATGCTGTGCAGACTGTCACGCTACAGTTTTCCCTGCCAATCCTAACCTCACATTTTTACGACCATGCGTCCAGCTTGTGTGCCTCTGTCAGACATGATCTGTGTTTGTTCCATCAACATTTGGACCTTTTTTTGGTCTGGGATACTTGTTTGTTGTTATAGGGGAATGCTGGATGAAACTGTACAAGCTTTATGAATTTTTGCATAATTGTGAGCCTAAAATAGATGAGACTTGACAGCAATAACCATTGTTGAAGTCTATATTAGGGTCAATGATATGTTGTTATTTTTTTCTGGATCTATTAATTTATCCAAAAATACATTACAAATACATACACACAATGACTTGAATACACCTTTTCTATGATGAGCATGCATTCATTTTTATATTTGATGTAAACTATTAAAAATATGAAATGAAATGAATCAGGGTGATATAGCTGTCCTAATATTATAACAAATAAAAAGCCTCATTAAAAGAATGAAATTCTTGAAAATAAAGCTTTTGAGTAGTTAGGCGTCTTTTATTGTTGTTGTTGATGTTGTTATTATTATTATTTCTTAGAGAAAAAATATTTTAGCAAAACTGCTTCACTGCTCGTTCATATTTGAAAAACAAAACAAAAATCAAACAGTATTTTAAAATCTGATAATTGTAACTTTTTATAACAAAGCAAGAACAATAGAAAAGATTGTGACCTATTAAAACTATCTGCTTCAGTGATCGTTTAGTAGTATCTCAGACACTTAGTATGGAGATACAGAGGTGTCGAGGGACTACGTCCGTTAAAATTGCTACTTTTTCAGGCAGTTCAATGGGCGACTCGGCCTGAATCCCTCAATTCGCTTGTTGCTATGGGTTACCTGTTTGCTTTTCCAGTCCCCCTTAGTTTCAATGGCTATGAAATAGGAGGGAAAGGGAATCAAAAATGTGAAAGCCCGAAAAACAAATAGTGAAGTAAGATAAAAGTTAGCAAGATACTTTTCATTTCAATTTGAGATTGAAAAAAGAGAGAGTGGTTATGTGAAGCTTAAAGAAATGATTGAAAGTACAAAGAGAAAATAAAAAGAAGGTGATGATAATGGATGAGAGAAGAGAAGGGGCAAAAAAAGGACAAGGGTCAAAGAGGAGGTTAAAGGGGAAGGGGAATGATGGCACATTAAAGGGATGAGGTTAGAGAGACAATGAGCATGGAGGGAATAACTGGAAGGAAGGCGTGTGTGTATGTGTGTGTGTGTGTGTGTGATATACAGCACTTCAGTCTTGGAATGCCATGCTGCAACACAGTTATGACAGTTGCCTAGAAAACATAGCGAGTTTCCAAACACAAACTACTCTATGCACACAGATCTCAGCTCTGACCACCTTTCATTTTATGTGTGCATGCAGGTGAAGCTGTTCGAACCCAAACTGTTGTCCAAAGGCAATAAATTGGCTAAATCACAGCTATGTCAAACACTTTTGAGTCTGGGTGGCCGTTTACTGTTGTGAGAGGTGTCTGAATTAGTACGCACTAAGGAAAGTGGATAAGAGGCTGATGAAGCCATAATTTCACACAGTTTAAATGTGGTATGACAGGGAGAGGCACAATGGAAAAACACTTTCATAGCGCTTCCCGTCAAGGTTTATTGTTGTTGCCCACCTACAGAGTAAGAAAAGAAACAAAATGTGTGCTTTTTTTTATTGAAAAGATGTTGTTTGTTCCCTTGTTTTAGTTAAATCAAAATGAGTTAATGAATTAGTACAACATAGGCACAATTTACTAAATCAGGGGAACTAATTATATTCCACAATATATGTTTTTTCCAGCATGTCATGTACGGGGCTCCATAGAGACATCTTTTTACATTTACAATACCTTTGCCTTCATTTACTGCTTAATTCAAGTAAATCTTTAAAAACATGATAACAAAATAATTTTTATAACACTGTGAAACATAATCTTTAGCAAATCTCAAAATGAGTATTTTTTCATGCTGTAAATTATAATATTGGGCTGCCTAAATTGCATGTAGCATTTAACAAAGAATAGTTACTCATTAAATTACTCACTCTCAGGCCATCCAAGATGTAGATGTTTGTTTAAAATGAAAGGAATCAGAATAATCCAAGTAATCCACATGACTTCAGTCCATCAGTTAACGTCTTATGAAATGCAAAGCTGCGTGTTTGTATGAAAAATCCACCATTAACGCTTTTTAACTTTAAACTGTCGCTTCGCTTATACGACTCATCTGTCGAAATACTCCATAATCCATAATCAAGTCCACAAACATTGTTTAGAACTGTTTTGGACTGTTTTTGCTTGTAAACAGTGCTTGATCTGTGCATATTTCTCTCCTGATTCAAACAAGATGACTTTTTCACTGAAGAAAGCAATATCATGGATAGAAGACTCGTATTTTAACCAGAAGCAAAGGTTTGAAGTTAAAAATGTCTTAATGATGGACTCATTTATTACAAACACACAGCGTTTCAATACACAAGACTTTAATTGATGGACCGGAGTCGTGTGGATTACTGTGATGTTTTTATCAGCTGTTTGGACTCTCATTCTGACGGCACCCATTCACTGCAGAGCATCCATTGGTGAGCACGTGATGTAATGCTAAATTTCTCCGGATCTCCTCCGGTGAAGAAACAAACTCATCAAAACTCATCATGGATGGCCTGAGGATGGGTAAATTTACAGCAAATTGATTTTTTGAGTGAAATATTCCTTTTTAATTTTTAATGTTTTATTTTGAATTTATTTTTGATAAAACTGTATTTTAATACTGGTCCTTTATTTGTTTAGGAGCCTCAAAGATTATATGGCATGTTTTTTTTTTGGTAATGTTTATAGCTTTTATGTGTACTACCTTAATCACAGAAGCGAACTCCTTTTTTTTTTGCATATTGCATAAGAGCATCTGTTTGGCAGAGACACTTTCATGTGCTTAAATGTAAAAGGAATGTGCATACCTTGTCAAATTGCAATCCGATCGATCAAGCGCTTGAAGTGACTAAGCATAAATAGACCCTTAAGAGCTTTTAAATGTAGACTAACTGTGAATCCTATAAATGTAGAATGTTATCCTCTTATTCTGAGCTGGATGAGAAAAGAGATCTTATTTATATACAAATCAGTAAACTGATCCACTGTCACTGAAGTAAATTGCCTGAGACATAATCTATAATGAAATAGATGAATCTATATGAATCTATAATTAAAAATAATTTTAAAAAGGTAAAAAATCAAGCAAATATCATTTACAAATCTAGCATTCCCTTCAAAGAATAAATTAATGAATTGAGACTACAGATTTTCAGGTCCATCTATCATCACAAGCAAATCTTGTGGCATAGACAAAATAATCACATATTAAATCCAGTAGACATTTTATTTTCCCTGTGTACTAATATGATCAATATATATTTGTTACTACTAGGAACATTTCTAAAATCCCAAACAATTTATTTACAATCTTTGTGACAGAGTTGATATGATTGTGAAATAAAATATGAGCACAAGTACTTAAAACAGAGCCTGTGTGAGTTTTTACCTCACAGTAGGTGAGATGTGTAAAGAGGAGATAGGGCTGCCTTTATTTTTGCCTGATTTTATAAACGTATTCACAAATATCTAACAGTGTTGATAAAATGTAGGGCTTTGGCACATTATAAAATGCGTATTTGAAACGGCACCTTGCATCTGTCAGCACATATTAATGTTTCTTTTTTTCTTAATTAAATATATTAGCGTTAATCTGTATGATGCACCTCTTCGCTTTAACCAGTCGGGGGCGACAAAACCCAAGACTCAGACTCAATAACATCAGCCATTGTCACCATGAATTTCCTGCGCTGGATGTGCCTGGCGTGGCTGTCTGTGAAAAGGAAGGGAGCCAGGGAGGGATGGAAGAGGAGAGCGCAGGCATTGCGGGAAGAGTAGAGAAACCTGAACCCCATTCGCACTGGGGGAAAGAGGGAGGAGTGAGACACACGCCGTGTAGAAGCGGCCATTACATTGAGCAGCACGGATGGAAAAACCATAATAAAGCGGGTACCGGCGAGTCAAGAGCAGGAATACAAGAAGCACTGTCCGGATACCGTTTCACAGAG